TACCCCTCTGGCCCTTAGCTCGGGCCCACCCTCTCTCTCTCTCTTGCTGTGTGAGACATCTTTCAATCGCGCTGCCTCTTTCTCCTGCAGTACCTGCCCCAGCCACAAGGGGGTCATTTCCAAATCCCCTGGAATGGAGGACACAAGAGTCTATTAGGCCTGAGGATCCCCTGCATTGGGAATCAAAGCCGCAGCGGAGCACAGTCCCTGAATTTGGGGTGGGGGTGGGGTGCTATATTTACCAAACAGACTGCATGAATGAAGGCCCTTCCCTTACTCACACCTTCCACCCTATACATAGACGGAGGTCTAGGTTATTTCTTTGTCTAAATTTAAACCATACTGCTCCAAATATGGAAGATTTTATATCCGCTTCAGTCCAATGGCAGCATTACCCAAAAATGCCCGGGCAGGCATGCCCTGCTCCTCCCCAAACACGGCACTAACTCCACCCGGGGACACGCAGTAAACATGCCGTGCACTGACATGGATGGGGAGCCAGCCTGCCGTTCCATTTACATTTCAGCTGACTCTCACTCAACGTTATACTGGACGTTTCTATTTAGCTGCTTAGCTGATGCTTTTAGTAAATAAGTAATTAACAGCTCAGCCATTTATAAATATGACCAATTTAATGGAACAATTGAGTGACAGTTTCTTTCTGATGAGTAAAACAGGAGCAGCCCCGCAACAGGGAAGGAAACAAGTTACAAAATGTAATAAATTATCATAGCACTCAGATCCCTGAAACTCTGAGTGATTCACCCAGAACAGCTTTAATTAGCTATTGGTTTCATCTTATTGTTACTATAATTTATTGTGTACAGAGTCTCTTATTTATAGTTCATGCAAGGTGACCTTTAGTGTCCTAAAAGGTGCCCATAAATAAAAATTATTATTATTATTATTGTTGTTAGTGTAATTTTTCACTAAAACATTTCACACCTGCAGTAGCCATATACCTCTAGAACAGTCAGAATGTATGTCTGAGTACATATCTCTAAACAATCAAAGTACATGTCTGAGTAATATATCTACATAAAGTGTATGTCTGAGTATGTATCTGTTAACTATCAGAGTGGAGTCTGAGTATTAATCTCTAAACAGCCAGAGTGTATGTCTGAGTATATATCTTTAAACACTCTTAGTGTATGTTTAAATATATATATTATATATTGCTAAACTGTCAGACTGCATGTCTGAGTATAAAAATCTGAACAGTCTGAACAGAGTATTTGTCTGAGTATATATTCATAAACAGTCAGAGTGTATGTCTGAGTATTTATATCTAAACACAGTATATACCTGAGTGTGTATGTGCTTCCTGTATTGCTACCGACAGTAAGCAAAGCAATGTTGCCTCTGAAGTGTCACATTTAAACATAATAGTGTACCTGTGAGTGTGTAGATGCTAATAATGTACCTGTGAGTGTGTAGATGCTTAGAGTGTGTGTGCTTCCTTCCTACTCACACAAACACACCTGTGGTTGCAAAAGCAGGATCAGGTTTCTCCATAAACATAGGATTTCTGCCACTACTGCACTGCCATCTGAGAGAGCAGATGCTTGGCTATAGGTGCACAGACACACTCTGTCATAATACAAACGCATTTCATCTTTCCGGCGCGCTCTGACGCTCGCCTCATGACCGCAGTCTATTCCTGCCTGTGACCTTTTCTGAAAAACAGCGTCATTTTAGAAGTCTCTTTTTTCATATATTCATTACACTAATTGGCATGAAGTATGAATACAGCAGACACCTCCAGAGCTTTACAGTGTCACTGCAGTCAAGTCTTATCAGAAGGACAGGTTAGCAGATTAAAATAGCAGGTAGTGAGTGTCACATCGCCTTATGAAGGCTCACATCCTTCTCTCCCGGACAGCTCACATCGCCTTATGAAGGCTCACATCCTTCTCTCCCGGACAGCTCACATCGCCTTATGAAGGCTCACATCCTTCTCTCCCGGA